AACAAGTGCGTGTTTCCCCCTCACCAGTAAAAAGAAGTGGGCATCTCCTTTTATCTGCGAAGAGAGTTGTGAACTTAATTCAGCCTGATCCCCATTCATTGTGTTCAACATTTACCCCCCCAAATGTCAGTGATTTTCTGGAAAATAAAGTACTTGGGAGACAGGAGAAACAGAGCCCTTGGTGATATCTGTATAGCAGAGTATTTCTTCTCATCCATATGCAAATCTAACCTTTTTGATATTTCAACCCTATAAACCCTAAGACAGGATTTCAATAGAAAATGTTTACTAAAGGCTTTCTCCTTTATAATCTATTGATTTTAATATCCTTACTACTCCTGTTGAATGTCAGTTTTACCCTGAAGACTCCCATTGCAAACTTGAATACATTTAATTATTTATACCATTTGAAATATTAGTGCTGAGAAATGACTAAAAGTTTCTAGTTCTGTAATAGTATGATCTGAAGTTTGATTTTCCTTTGTGAATAACACTAGTAATTTGATATGGTAATCAAGGACAGATGAATACTTCAGACAACACAGCGCAGTTTTACTAGTAATAACATCTATTTTTCATTTTTCCAGCCTCCTTGTATATGTTAAAGTGTACTGAAGGTTCTCACTGCCTTTTTTCACAGTCAACAGTTTAGCATTATGTTTTCCTTCTTCTGAAGGTGCCTGAACAAGTAACTGCTGCTTCCACCAGTGATGGCATTTAGGCAGCATGCATGGGTTGAGTGCAACCGAGAGCAGATTTGCCCCTCAGTGTGGGTCTAGCAGTCTTGCTTGCCTTACTCCTATCACTCACTGCATTAGTAAAACAAAGCAAAGTTTTGATCTCAAAGAAACTGTGTCTGAGACAAATATTGCTTGTACAGAACAATCTACATGAAGACTTATGAAGGGTAAGATTTTGATAGCAGGCAAACCAAAGCAGAGGAGTTTGAAACTCAGCACCTATAGGGCAGTTCTTCCCCAGAACTGTGTTTTTCATCCCAACACACATCCATTGTCTTAATTTTTCCTCTTTTTGACTACCAACCTGATAGTTGTTCAGAAGCTGCAAAGTTGTAGTTGGCTCTTCTATTTACTCCAGATGAAGAGTTTTATTTCCATCCATATCTGACAGGAGGAACTGTGGTACCACCAAACACAACTTTTCTCTGAGATTAATTTTTTTGATAGTAGAGAATAACAAAAGAATGGTTCATTTTTTGTATGATTTTTAAGTTATTTCTGATGGCAGGAAACACAGTCTAGCTTGTATCCTAAAAGTTTAACCAGGCTCACAATAGCCATCAGTAGTTGGATTTTTCTGGTTTATAGCCTATCATCAGGAATGATCATCTAGATATATAACTTTTAACAGCCTAGGATTATTGTTTAAAAGTAAAGCAAAAAAATATCTGGAATGAAGTCTTTCATACTAAACTGAGCAAGGAATACGTGTACCAACTTTTATTTCCACCATACCTGCCCTATATGCATTAGATATGTTTGTAACCAGTTTTGGTTTCATAGAGACATTGAGAACCAGTCTAAAGGCTCTAAATAAACAGAAATACTGTCACTGAGCACATGACTGGGTCAAGCCAAATAAGTGCTCTGATATGTGTTAGAGGGGAAGGCAGTGTGCTATGCTTCTTGTAATATGTGGATATAGGCCAGGAATCCAACATCATACCCAGCTCTGCCACTAGACTGGCTTTCATGGCCAGAGTATTCAAGGCCCTGAAATTAATGCTGCACTACATGAAGCAATCCTCAGGGGTTCAAGTCTCTCACAAGGCTGAGCCATGCTTCTCTTGACAACTTTTCGCCACCTGCAAAAACAGACTGCTCCTTTTCTTCCTTTCCATTTTACTTTGGAATATCCATTTGGAAACTTAGGGCAATAAAATAGCCTATAAACAACCCCTCAGATTAGACGCTATGTTTCTGGTTGTTTTTCTGGCATCCTAGGTCCATTCACGTATGTCACTCCTTTGGTTTTATTAATTTCACTGCCATCCTTTTAAGCAACAGATTCAAGACAAAAAATATTCACTTGACTTATTTTAGCTAAGAGGCCTCACATTTAATGGATTTACTGTTCTTTCATGTCCCAGGTCACTCCTTGAGATCAGAAAATGTGGAATTCCTTATCGTCCCTAAATGTTATCTGAAGTCATGTCGTTATTTTGCCTTTAGTGAGTCTCTTTACTCTCTGGCTTTGGAACCTACTGCCAAATGAAGTAAAGAAAGCTCTGACTGTGGGGATTTCTAAATCCAAAGTTAAAAGTTATTTGTTCTATTTAGCATTTTTAAAACGATTCTTTTAGGAATTGTATGTGCCTCTAAGCTAATTAACTCTTAATGAGAGCAAAATGCCCTGGGATGCAGATTTGGAGGGTACGCTAGAAATGCAGGCATGGATTGGACTGCAGTACCGCAGGAGATGAAATTTACGATTGGGTTCTTTTTTTTAAATGATGGTGCAGATAGTTTTATTGAGAGACTCTTTTTTTTTTCTTTCTAGACTAAATAAAGCTGATCAGATTTTTAGTCCACCATATGGGGCCCAGTTATATCAGTCCTGCAAATACACTTTAGTTTTCCATTACAGATGAAGCCACTCTTCAACAGGGAAAACAAGTTTAGAAACAAACTTTCATATTATGAAAGACAGGCAGTTTTCCAGCACTGAGCACTTAACCAGAGCACCAGGAAATCAGAACACCTGGCTGTGTTCAGCTCTATCCTATTCCCCTGGACCAGTCCCTCACTCTTTTAGTGCCTTCACTCATTCATCTGTAAAGCAACTATAATTGCGTTTGTATCACAAGGGTACCTTGATGCTTGACAAATGAGAATTAACCCAAAATTCATCCTTCAGAAACACTGTATGAGCAATACCTTACTCACATGGTGGTTATGGACAATTCGATTAGAAGAGGTATAAATGCAGTCAAAGTGAAATTCCATTTAGGATCGGTCAAACTCTTCTTAATTTTTCTTAGTTTTCATCTAATCCTGGTGCAGGATTTAGCATGCCTCTCCCATAAGTGGTTTATATGCCTCTTTCCTTCTTTTGCAACAAGCCAGCATATTTTGTTCCATGTTATATTAAACTGTCATTTTGGGCAAATGATTTTTTCCCAGAGCAATACCTTGGAAAGCGGCATTTAGCAAAACAAAGGAAAAATATTGTGTCAAAGAAATCCTGTCCTGTATGTATATGAACAAATGACAATCATAAGGATTACACATGGAAAAATTATTCCAGATTTTATGAAGAAGGGGTTTCATAACTGTTGTTATGTTTTATCTAATTAGATTTTTTATATTTGCTATAATAATGTTAAAAATTAAGCAGACTTTCTGCAACAAACTGTAGAAACATATGGTGTACAGCCTGCAGAGGCTCTCAGTGGCAGTAGTATTACTGATAATATTTGTGATTTAGAATCTGCTTTCCTCTGAAAAATAGCTGTGTATTCTCCCAATTTAAAATACTGTGTTTTCACCAACATGTTTTCATCGCCATTAACAGTTCTGGGAGAAGAAGTATGGATATGATCTTTTTAAATCCATTTTCACTTCTGTGTGTTTGTGGATCTTTCAGGGTGAGGGTGGCTAAATATTCAGGCTCAGCCATGAACCCACTTAAAGAAACCAGGTGAATTCAAGGAGACCTGTTTTACCAGGACCTCCCCCCAGGTCGCTTCGCCCAGCATCAGAAGAAAAAGTGGAGTTGTTGCTTGGTCACGCTACTTTTCCTAACAAAGGCACAATCGCTTGGGGCTAACCAAATTGCAGGGTGCCAGGAGTTCTCCTGTCAGCACCCCAAAGTAAGCTGCAGCCCCTAGGAACTGCTCCTGGAAAGATTTGTAGGTACAGATTAGTTTCCCATAAGAAATCGTACAGCTTGAAAAATAAAATAAAATAAAATCCTTTGGGTCTTACTTTATTATGTTCATACTTGCAAAGCGCTTTAAGAACAACTCATGCTAACAAAAAGCATTCCTCTGACTTATCTCCAATGTATGCTTGAAAGGCTGTGTTCCAAACAAACTGCAGAGATTAAGTAAATGAAAAGATACTAAACGTTGCAGCAGGGAAGCAGTCCAAGTGTTGGTGTTCTTAGGAGCATCAAAGGTGGTTTAGGTTCACATTCATGCATACACAGTCTGCAAAATTCACTTTTTAAACCTTTTACCCTGTTTGGCTTCAGTAACCTGCTTCTCAAGGCTCTCCTAGGTGACTGGACCCACTCATACCTGGGGGCTCAGACCACACAGTCTCTAGAACCCAGTCCATGCGGAAATTTAACAAATCTGCTGTTCTCAGGAGGAGACCTGGCAGACAGTCCCTCAGCACTACTACACACCAGTGAACTTGTGCAAGCAGCATCTTTGGTAATAGGTGCAAGCAGGGATTCCCCTTGCCTTCCCCCCAATGGCTGTTGAGGTGGCATTAAATATAGCCAAGATTCCTGAGCCGACCGTTTCATCTCAGTAGCTGAAAGTCATTAAAAACTTACCTTGAAAGCAGAAACAGGTGGTCCCTACCTATAAATCAGGCCCTAGCTCAGCTCTCAGACTTCAGTGGGCTCATGGATATTTTTAGTGGGCTCAGAGAAAAAAGTGGTTTGGTGGGACATACACATCCACCTCTTCAGCTCACTCCAATACAATGCTGTACAGACCAACAAATTTCTTGTGAACTGATCCTGGACCAATATCTAGGAAGCTGAAAAAAAATCAGCCATGAAATCTTCTCATTTCACCACTAATCCTGGTCTATATGGCTCTCTAGCTTTAATTCAGTTAATTTGGCCATTTCTGAGGGTGATGTGGGTAGTCGACGGAGAGATACTCCTTTTATCTATGCTTGGGTAGGTGGTGTCTAATTCTAAAAGGTACCTCTCGGCAGTTGACAGCAGGTGACTAATCTGCAGAATTAACCAGGCTCCTCAATCAGAGAAGTGAAAAAATTCTTTCTGACTGTGTCTTTCAGGATTTTGCGGACTCCGTATACCAAATGGTTGCACAGAAGTTCCAGGAGCTGACAGACAATTTCACTTCCATGCATGCACGCCACAAAACTCTTGCAGGCATTGTGATGACCAAAGGTAAGAGATCCTCTCATTTATTTTCCTCTGGCATTTTTCATGAGTAAGTAATACATTATTTACCTGGTCAACAGTACTGAAAGATACCTTTACTCCCACACTGAAAAATAAATAGTAATGCAGAGAAAAGAAGCATGAATTATTTACACCTCACGTGAGTTCACACATAAGGTATCGGTAACAGAGGAAAAGATTTGTTCATAAATATGTCCCTGCATTGTTTCGCTGACAGGACAAAAAGCCAACTTGTCTAATTTTGCATTTCCTAATAAATGATGAGGTTTTAGTTATCAATTAAAAGTTGTATTATATATTAATATCTCTTTAGATCTGGAAACACCAAATTCTTGTTGTTCAAGACAACCATAAACCTTGTTTCAGACTTACAACAAAAGCAAATCTCAGCCCATTTCCTTTCCCATTAAAAGAAACAAATCCAAAGCATGCATAGCTTTAATTCTGCTCAGTTCAAAGCATGGGAAATGCTTATCAGCAGGGCCATATTTGATATTCTCTCCTGTTAAGATATAACTGACAGACACATACTATACAGAAATCTTTAACCCTTTGATGAACCCTGTTGCACAGTCTTTCTTTCTATGTGATCATACCTCAGTTGGGGCACCTCAGTATTTATGAGCATGTCAGCAGTGGAGATGCTGCCATAAACTTCATTCTCACTCAGATGGATGGTGCAATGGATTGAGTTTAGAAAGACAATAAGCTCAGCGGGGAAAGGCATGTATAATTCACCCAGGCTTGTCTTACTTCATCCTTTCAACAGTTACGTTAGCTAGATTCAGCAGGGACAGTCGTGAATACTGCAAGGCAGCAGCATGGAGACAGGATTATCTGATGGATCTCTTCCAACTGCAGAACCTAAATACGGCTGAGAGTTCTGGGTAGAGTAACTTACTCTCCAACTTTCTGATATGAAAAGAGTAAGCAATCCTCTCCTGAAATTAAATGTTGAGAAGTTCACCTAAAGTCTTTTAGACCTCTGGTTGAAACTGAACTGCTCCTTAGCTAAATTTGTTATGATTTTGCTTAATCTGCTTTGGTTAGTTATTTTTTCTATTACTTTAGGATCTGTAATAATGGATGAGTCTTCCATTTTTTAACTGCTGCACAGACACAGTGTTGTAAAACCACAAAACGTGGTTTATAAATCCTATAGACCACAGGATACATATTCAGTACCAAGAAAAATAAAAGGGAGAGTGTGATTGACTTTGGGATGTGAAAGATGCAAACTACACCCAGCATAGCAACTGGCTTGTCATAGTCGGATTCCTTGACTGTGGCACTCATCAGATATAAACAAAATGCTGTAATTTATTTAGAGGAGCACCTTCCAAGCAGGACCACAAGGAAGAATGTTTAAACACACCTTTTATGAGAAGCTAAGTTACAGGAAACAAGAGCTGTTGCTTTAACCACTTTTTGAGAGGAGGTTGTACTCAGCTCAGTGTCCCATTCAGTTTTCTTACACTGTGTATTTTGCCTCTAAGAATTTCATCCCATTCTACATTGCCAGGGTACTGCTCCTGCATTCTTTAGCCCAGGCCTAGACTTGCCTTAAAAAGGTGTCACCCAAAGGTGACTTCCAAAATTGTGGCTACTGAGTGCATTCAGTGCTAGGGGTGCGAACGGTCATGTCCAGAGCTCTGCTAGCCTTTGCTGGGCAGTTGGGACTGACTGTGTCTCTTCTTCGGGGAAGGGGTGAAACTGCCTTTTCCTGACATGGTTTTTTATGAATCACATGCCCTTAGTGGTATTTTACACATTTGTATTTCATATTTCATCTTAGTCAGCATTAAGACAAAGTGTAATTTTACTTGTGTTCACAAAACATTTCCCTCAAGGTTTCTTTTTTATTTCTGAATTCCCTGTTACGAATTCCTTCAATGTGTCATTTATCCAGTGTGTCAATATCTTACTGGTTTTGTGGAGCCTAGAAAAGAAACTCACAGATACGAAGTGATTCACAGAAGACGCAAAACTAGAAACAGCCTTATCTTGGTATATGCTCCAAGAAGATTTGAGTTCTTTCTAGCACAAGAATGTCTGCCAGACATTGTAAGACTAATCATTTACCATTTACGTCATTATTTTCTGTACTAAAGTTGTAGATTTGTGGTCTCTTCCCCACCATCATTCCCGGGGTAGCAAGGATCTTGACACACTGTTCAAAGATGGCACAAACAGGTTTTCCACATCAAACACTCAAATAAGTACCAATTTCCTCTATTTTTAACATAGAATTTGTCAGAAAATCCCTTTGATCTCTGCAAACAATTTACCAATGTCAGCAACAAAAGAATATCTAGTAACTGTTGCATTTGGTACCATGCACATGCCCAGAACAGACAAAAATTAATTTGTTTTTACCTTCATTTCAATTTAATGTCATCCTGACTAGAAACAGATTTATCTGCGCTTGTACAGTTTTCAGACAAAGCTGGTAAAAAGCACAATGTGATTCTGCTATAAGTGCTGTTAAGATAATACAAAATCTCTCCAGACGAAACAGGATTGTGCCAGATTGGTTTTCTTTTCCTGAACTCTGACATTATTTTTCTGCCATTTCAATTTCCCAGGGAAACCAAGAAGAGTTACATTTGGGCAGTGTAATTGACTATGCTGCAGCACCCAGGGCAAATTCCGGAGTATGAGAAAGAAGAAAATGTAGAAAATTATGTTATTGACTGACTGTGAATGTTCTGCAGTAATAAATTGCTAGTCAGAAAAAAACAGGCAGTCCAATGTATTTAGATATGCTTTGCTCTGAACTGCGAGAAGTTAAAATCTCTGCATTTTGTGAAAGTAAGTTTTCAAAACATTTGATTAATAGGCATCAAGATAACCTTGAAATAATCTGCCCTAAAAGCAAATTATACTAGATACCAGCTGATGTGATGATATCTGATGTAATATAGTAATTGAATATAATAATTAAAAAACCTAACATAACAGATCTTGAACTAAATGTTTCAAAAGATGGAATAGTTGAAGTAAATTATTTAGCAGTTCTCTGGTTATAATATATTTGAAATCTGCCAGTCCTCTAACACATTCTAATTTTGTTGAAACACATCCAGAGAAGATTGTTGTAGCAAAAACTGTTTGATTGACTCTAGGAAAAATTGTTTGAGTAAGAGATTGCATTCACATCTTTCATGTACAGCAAGCCGTATTCCCACAGAATATCTTCACGTAGAATAAGTATACTTGTTATTGTAGCCAAGTATTACTATGAGGACCTAAGTTTTATACTGATTATCCACAGTAGTTCTCCTAACTTCACTGAATATATGATGGGTTCACATATAGTAAATTAAGAACATCAGTTAACATTGTCAGACACAAACTATCCACCTCAGAAGCATGTGATGCATGGAGTTAACCTTCCTCAGAGTGTTTTGCATTTGTGGCCAAAACACGACTGATAACACCAATATTTTGGCTATTGCTGGACAAGGCTTGCAAAGTGTCAAGACTTTCTCTTTCTCTCCCATCCTCATCCTCAACAGAGGGTGCGCAAGAGGCTGGGAGTTGGCATAGCCAGGGCAGCTTTCCCCAGCTGCTGAAAAGGATATTCCATGTTATAGGACATTGTGGTCAGCAGTAAAAGTTAGGAGAAAGAAAGAGAAGGGGGACACACTTTGATTTGCAGCATTTTTCTTGCCAAGCAACCGTGAACTTTTATTCTCTCAATCCACAAGTATTCTTGCCTTCCGTGGGTCACCAGGCAGGGCAGATGTCTTTATTGGTGGACAAGTCATTGAGGATAAAGCATGGACACAGTGCTGCCTGTCCCCTAGAGCTAGGAGATAAGAATCCTCATGGCAGAGCAGTGGGAGGTGGGAGGTAGAGGTCTGAGCTGCACACCAAGAGCTGCTATCCAAAGGCTGGTGGCATTTGCACTGTTTATTTACATTACAGACAGAGTTTGCCTTTGCAAGCTCTGAACTGATATGGGCATACATTCATGCTCTACACGAAATCACTGGACCCAGTAAAGAATTCCTGTCACTCTGTTCAGAGTTGATCTCTTATTGCTGAGGTCCTCTTTGCAAAAAATTCCTCCCATAATCATTACGGACAAAATGAGACTGCTATTTAAGCACTATTTTCCCATTTGTGTTTGACAAATCTTAGCAGTTTAAATACTGATAGGAACTTTTTGTCATGCTTTCTGTTAAAAATGAAGCATTAAGAAAGTGCAGTCCTTTTCACAGGAGCTTGGCATTCATAGGAAAAGGTTATGAGTTCATTTCTCATTTCAATTTTATCTCCTATCTTTTTTTTTTTTTTAGGCTGACAATCATTTTGATGTTAAAAGCAAACTAGGCGGTCTTCTCAGTTATCTTGTATGAAATAAAGATGAACTGGACAAAAGAGCCCTGAATAGCAATTTCATGCTGTGATAAAAGATTGAAAATTATCATCTGTATCTCATGGAACAGATCTTAATCATTGCTAAGTGGAATAACAGAAAAAAGTAGAGTTGACAACACGTCTCTATGGATCTTTATAGTCGTATTAAGACTCATAAAACCTGACATGCAATCAGGAATACTGATGGCCAATTGATTTCTGATCCTTAGTTTAAATAAGAAAGTTGTAAAGTAGTAAAATACAGTAGAAAATTCAGGCCCTATGTAGAGTATCAATCTGCTTCATCCTAGGTTGTATTCAAGTAGCCAAACCAGTTGAAGGAGTGGATCTATGATAATTTGAAGATTAGTGCCTAGGACAAATCCTGTCAAGAAGAGATCCACAGGAGTAATTTTGGCTCTTGGGTCCCAATTGCATAGCTGGATGGATGCTAAAAGCCTGGTCCCAGTGAGACTCAACGTTTCAACGAGACTTAAGTTCCCAAAATCAAACTTGGGTGCCCAAACTGCTGACATGCTTTTGAAAATTTCATCAGGTCTCTTCATCGTCTGTTGCCTGATGCTCTTAAGGACATGACACAAAGTGATTTGACGTTCTTG